TAGCATGCGCAGGCGATAGGCCTACATGACTCTGCCTTTTCAGATTATAGGCTGAACAAGATGGTGGAAACATTTACTTTATTTTGATGTGTTTGTCTCAATTTGTCTAGGTCTGTGATGATAAGTGATCAACCTGAGCATACAAATGCAGAGTGATAAATGGCAAATGGAAATGGGGTTGACAGTGTGCGGAGAGCAGCACGGGAGGCCGTTTCGAACGATCTCGGCCCTATGAATGTGAAAAGCTCCTTTGAGCACTGCCATCATTTATGAGCGGAGAAAGTCAGATTTAGTCGTCCTAATGGTAAGGCGTTCCATCTGAACCCGAGAATCCGCCGTCGATTGGGGAAGATGCAAACGCTAGCGAGTTTATTAGCTTTCCTTGGTGCATGAAGCCCGTGATGATTCGAGCTGCCGATGTCATTATTTGGGACGAAGCTCCGGCAAGAAGGCGTTGGGAGACTCAAAGGACTCCATTCTATGTCAAATTGCGCTGGGTGTCGAGTTACGCCGAGTGTCGGCTGTCGCCTGCAATGCACCTCGCAATTAAATATTTGTTTGACAAAAAATATCCAGATATCTGGATGGGAACTTCCTTTTGCTGAACGATTACTCGCTGTGGGCAGTGAAACACGTCATTTATACCATGATTTTTTATTAATATTTCAATAATGCGTATTAACTCAGTTTTCAAGCTTACATCATTTCATGTCAGTAAAATCAGTTGGAAACCTCTATAGCCCGATCAACCGGATGCAATTCTTGGCCATGCAGCAAAAAACTCGCGATTGAAAAAGCTTACCGTGCCCATAACTTAATTAGCTTAACAGGAGGGTTGGACGAAGGGGGCAGCCTCTTCAGGCAGCTAAACTCTGGGCGTCTCTGACGAATTATTCTTCGCCATCGCGCGACGCAAATCCCAGTCGTGCCACGGGAACGATCCACTATTTCGATATGAAGCCTTACAACCAACTTCCTTTCCACTTCCTTTACCCATGATACAGTCTAATTGCCTTGACACGTGCAGTTTTTCTTCCCTAAGAAATGGAAAAGTAGCCAGCAAGGGAAAGAGCGAGAAATTAGAAGTGACAACGACGGAATACCAATGGATGAGAAAGAATGGACAACGCATCGAACAACTTTCGTCGCGTTGGCGACATTAGACAGAGTAGGATAGGGGAGTTGGGGTGGCAAGCAGGGCGCAAAGGAAGATTGAGTGCGCGAGAACAGCGAAGAAGGAAATACAGGAATTGTCCTTCTGCCTCCACCACTATGGAAAGAGAGCCGAAAGCGTTCCCGAGAACCCCTTTTAGGCGCAACCTTGTGACGTCACTCAGCTTGCGCATATTCACGACCTCCTCTAGGCCGAGGCTTCATTTGTACACTTTCATCAGACATACCCTTCGGATTTGGTTGATTAACCCACGGATTCTTAAAGTAGAGACGAAACTTTCCTGACACACATTCACTCTTATTCTGTGAGGAATACTCAATACCATGGAAATCCAAGAGAAAGTTATACGAAATCGTTGGATAAGCTACCTGCTTCAGATGAGCTAAATAACAAGGATAGGGAAAAATAGTTGCTTGCTTGCAGGACATACTGAAGGAACTGATGTATCGGACCCTCTACAGTAGTGGTGCCTAAACCGCGGGCAAAAAGTGGCATGCGGAGGGCACTTTTGACCGCGAGGCCCTAACCCACAATAAATACCTTTTAGTTTCCTTAAAATAATATTCTTCCTTAAAATAATATTGGTCTTTTGTTTCTCGAGTTACACGCTTCAGCTTTTGGTATCTGCAGAAAATGGATTGATTGATTAATTAATGCTTGGGATGGAGAGTGAAACTAGAGTAACAAAAGGCCGCATTTCATAAAATCGCAAAATTCCGCAAAAAAATCGCATTTCATAACCCTCGTTCGTTAACTGGCTCCCTGTTCGCGAACTGGTGCCGCTCCCCTATGCGCAGTTGTCCTAATGGTGAGGCGTTCCATCCGAACCCGAGCACCCGCCGTCGATTGGGGAAGATCCAAACGCTACCAATCTTTGCGAGTTCACCAGGCAATACAAAAGCGCAAACGCATTCGCTCCCTGTTGTGGAAAGATCAGGTGACGATTCGAGCTACCGACGTCATCATCTGTGATGAAGCGCCGATGCCGCGGGCGTTGCCATACTGAAAGAACTTCATTCAATACCAAAATTGATTGTGCCGGGTGGGCCTGCTTGTTCCACGTCCTCTCAGGAGATTGAATTATCTTGCTGTGGTTTCCTTGGTGTATCGAAGATGCCGTGGTTCTGATTTCCTATGAAGTACGAGAAGTACTACTAGTACTTCTCGTAACTAAGTCACAAAGTGCAAAATCTAGGCGTGCTCAGATATTGGACATTAAACTATCGCGTTTGAGTTGTATGATATCTCCAGGAAAATGTTTCCAACGAACTACGCATTCATGTACAATTTAGTATAAGAGTTTTTCAGATATATGTTAATGGTAGGATGATATCCCACTGCTTTGGATTGATTATGTGGTAAGACATAGACCTGAGTGCCTCTTCGGTTTAACGTTGCAAATCCATACCTTCACGAAAGAAAAATGAGAAGGGTCGCAAAAGTAACAGCATCAGAAACAGAACCGTACCAAGATCTCAATAAATTTATGATTCTGATGTTGATCATCCAGATGATCCAATCAGCTAAAGCCCACTTCCCTTTGTTTATTTTGATCGAACATTTGCTAGTTACTCATTTGGTTTTTTCGTTTTCGCTTTTTCCCTTCTCATTGTATTTTTTTTCTATTAGAACGTCAAGCCCCACATAGTTGTGTTTAAATTTCAAAGCTGTATTCCAGAAAAAAAAAATCATTTGATTCCTCGTTTGTTTGCATTTCTCTTACGGAAACAAAAAGGGTGGCAGAATGTGCGATTAGATCGGGCAAAAATTAGTCACTATGGTAGCTGTGGTTGCCCGTACAGATTACGGAGTGAAAGGAAGAAATTCCGCGTTCGAGTCACGGAGCGTATCCGTTCGACGCAAGATGCAGCACGTACGATAATGGCGTGTCCCCTTTCGAGGGGGCCAGCACATCAACTTTCTGTCATTAAATATGTATGCCTACCATAAGTTGACTCTTGAAAACAGGTAGTTTCAGAGAGGGGCGAAACTAAATGGTCGCCCCTCGTCTAGCCATCATGGGTTGAGGGGAAGGCTGGATTCGATAATTGGACGGAAAAATAGTTCGAGTTTCGTTGTTTTCCCCTACCAGACTTCTGATTCCATGTAAGCATTCTCCCGGGCGTAAGTGTTGCAATTAATTTCTGCGTTAATGCTGTCAAATTAGGCAGCTTTTCCAAAGGGGCCACTGTGTCTTTGGAAATAAACCCTTCTCGATTGGCTTCTGGAATAATTTTTGCGAAAACAATCGTTACGTTTTCTGTAATCCTTGAAGGTGACCTTCACTTCATAAAAATGTGATGTTCATAATAATAATCATACAAAAACAATAACACAATATGCCAACTGAAAAATCCTTCACCCCCCCGAGGGACCCCTGGCCTGACAACACCACCTGTTTGCTGGCTTCATCTACCCAACTCTCCGATTATCTCCTACTTCAACTCAACGACTCAACCATAACCCCATCCAAAAATCACCAACCAATTCCCATCTGTATATTTCACTTCGTCCCACCTCATATCCTGTTTTGTAAAGGGTACGACATGTAAATGGTCAATCGCGAAAAAAATGTATATGGTTCCGTATCTGGAGAACTTGTTATGCCAGTCTGGTTTACTGACAGCATTTTGATATTTACCCAAATAAATAACTGAGCGCACAAGTTGTAATTACCTCACAGGACGATGTGGCAACCTTGACAACTTCCTTCAACAAGCTACTTTTACGCCCACTCCACTCAAGAATGTACAAACCTTTATGAATGCATTTAACTAATTCAGCACTTCCGGAACGGGATCGCAAAACGGATTCTCAATTTCTAGGATAAACGTGTACTTAATAGGCATGACGCAATATTTCTACCATCGCAAGTTCACAAAAACCTTTTCCTGAATGATTAATCTCCAGTACCAATAATTAAAAGGGTACCATTTGCGCGATTCGCAAACAGTAGCATGATAGGATATGCGTTAATTATAATGTTGATTAAGTTAGAGAAGCCACTCAATGAACTTAAGCAGCCCTTAATCCAGAAACTTTTTCAACGATGATGTGGATCAGGGAGAGAAAGATCAGGCGATAGAGGTGCCCACTCAGCGCTGCTCTAAATTGAGGAATCATCTCATCCGAAGGAAAGGTCTGTGGGACAGGGGTCGTCAGGGCTGTGTCTCTCGTGTCCATAAGATCCTCAGGTAAGTAAAACACGAATACGAGCTTTGTGACAAGGAAAATGGGGTTGACATCCCTTACTGATTTTCAAAAATTCACTAGCCGTCTTTAATCCCAGGGATTAGTGAGCGAGTGGATCAATATAGGTAATGAGACGAGGGTGAGAAATGAAACATTCACATGACATTTCATTAGTGCTGGGTTTTATTTGGTGAAGGCAAAGTTTCCTTACATTTGAACCATGAAACTTTCCTGAAACCATGAAGCATTTCGAAAGTTCAATCACTAGTGAAAGTCAATTTTTCAAGCGGCACTGGGCGTCTCCACCACAAATTACCTAGATGATCTTTGCTCTGTCTCATGACAAAGAGATTTTCGGCAATTTTCAGTCGACGAGAGAAATATAGTGCAACGGTTGTATTTCCAATGAGTATCATGTTGCACATATTTTTCTAAGATCAGCGATGAACGAAGGCAAGAACGGAACCATTATTCCGAGTTTCCTTTATGGGTGAAAGAGTGCAGAGGAGGGAATCCCTGAACTTCGGTTCACGATTGTTCTGGTCTGTCCCTAGCAAGAATCATAGAGAAGATGAATGCGATGAATGCAGTGACTGTATTGCGAACATTGCATTAACTCACAAGAGATGAGGTCTCATCGCTTCGACCCCATCGCCTCAGGCCGAGGCTTCCTCCAGCCATACAGGAAGATGTTGAATATCCACTCCATCACTTCCAGGATGGAGATGAAGGACAGCCCGGCGTAGAGCCCCAGCATCCCTCCCAACGTCCCAATGAAGCTCGACCACTAACCAATGAGAAGTGTTGCGGACCGAATAGTGACATATTCGGGTATCTGAACCTATGGACCCATGAACGATTTCCACTTACGGGATATTGAAGATGTTCCGTGATTGTCTCCACTACAAAGGTCTCATAGTAGACGTTCACCACTGCAAGATTTTCTCTGAATAGAAAATTGAAAAGCACGAGCTTGTAGACCGGAAATCATATCCCAATCGGCGAATCGTCTAGTTTTATGCTTCAATCATTCCAATTATCACCGAAACTCTGATTTTAATTGGACATACTTCGGATCGAGACAGAAAGTCCTGTTTTTCAGCTCGCTCTCATTCATCTTCTTCCTTTTCGCCTCTGCCATCCAGTTGATAAAATGCAGGAGTAACACCTCCTCGCGACTCAACTCCGCTGAGGTGAACGACCAGGAATATGTCTCCTCTCTGAAAAAAATTTACCCATCTCAATTGGTTTTTCTCTTCACATGCAGAGTGTGTATCCAGAAGGAAGCTTACGAGCAGGTTACATGGGGACAATCGCAGAACCCTTTTGAGTCAAACTCGTTGGCCAGCCGCTGGAAGATTTCGTCATTTGCACCTGTCCTCCATTAATATCA